AAAAAAAAAAAAAAAAAGATTATGTCTTCACAATATATGCAAGGCTCAAATTTCTTGGAGGTAAAACCAATTCCACCTATTTCACCTCCTCTTTCTCCAAATCCATGTCCTTTAACTAGAGAAATGACTCAATCGAATAAAAATGATGATTTAAATAATAATCCTCTTGAAAGAGGACCAAATGAACCGCAACAACAACAACAAGAGCAACAACAGCAACAACAACAACAAGAAGAAGTAAATAATTTACCAAAAATTACTGTCACTCAAGAAACTTCATCATCAAACTCTCATTCTATTACTTCTTCAATACCTCGTAATAAATATAGAATGAGAATTTGTGAAGCACCAATAGAAATTTTAACATTAATTAAAGCTTCCGAAGAAGAAAAAAATAAATCAACTGTTTCGTCAAATAAAAAATTCTTTGATGTATCAACTGCGGTTTCTGCGTTAACTACAGGAGAAGTACCCGCTGTCCCCGACATCATGGGTAGTACAAATGATAAAAACAGTTCTTCATTAAATCAATCCTCCAGTCATAACAAAGGTCGTGTGATCATTACGACGCCAAATAATACAACAACGGCGCAACAAACAAGTCAACATAAAATGATTACAGATAAAAAAAATAAAAGAAATCGTTCTAGAAAAAATCCATATCCAAAAAAAGCACCATCAAAATCTTCACCAGGAATAACTCTTAAAGTTGATGTTTTTACACCATTTAAAGCGGATCCAACATCACTTTTAAAAAGTGATGATCCACCAACAAATTCCAATTCAACAAATTCATTATTCTTTGGAGATTTTTCATCATCTGACTCTTCGCCACCAAATAGTCCAAGATTAACATCTAAAAAACAAAGAAAAACAAAAACAAAGAGATCAAAAAATCATGTTTCAGAAAGAAAACGTAAAGGAAATAGTCTTGCAAGAGTAATGGCAGATCGTGGCTTATTAGAAACAACTTTTAATCCTGTTTCAACAACTACAGGGGAAATTAAACCACTTCGTATTCCACCTCCGCCTCCAATGCAATTTGATGAATTAATAAAAAGTATTGATAAATTAGGTCTCACAACAGAATTATTAAATAAAGCAAATCCAAGAATAAACTGGAAAGGACAACCTTTATCGATTTTACATCTTCCACATTACAATTCTTTACATCCAAAAGAAGCAATTGTGGCTTCAACACTTCGACTTACACCTGTTCAATACTTGACAGCAAAGAATACTTTAGTTTCATCAGCTCGAAGATATATACAAAAATCTTTACCATTCCGTAAAAGTGATGCTCAAAAACTTCTTAGAATAGATGTCAATAAAGCAAGTAAACTTTGGGAATTTTTTATGCAAGTAAAATGGATCTAAAAAGAAATTCGGAATTTTCGGAGTATAAGGGCTGTACAATTTTAGTTAAAGTTTAATTTGGCGCAAATTTTTGACCTTTTATTTACTCCCCTTTAAGGTTTTCTTATCACTTATTATTACATAAATAAATTTGGCATAAATGGTTTCATTTTTAGAGTTTATTTTGAATAATAATAATAATAATAATAAATAAAAAAAAAAAAAAGTTTTTTATTTTTTTTTATTTTTTTTTTAAGACTAATAATAATAAATTGTAAATCATTAAAAGAAGAAAAAACCTTAATTACAAACCAATCCCATTTTGATTTACCAAATAAATGTTCCCCCCGTAAACTTTAATAAATTGACACATTTCCCACATCGTTCACACCACTTTTTTAAGAATCCAACCGATAAACGATATTTTATTACGTCAGATCATTTGTAACACGTGATAAACTTTTTTTATCTACTGATCTATTATTGATCTATCAAAAAAAAAATATATATATATATATATATATTTTTTTCTAGATTGAAAAGATAAATTTTTTAAAGATTAATCTCAAATAATAAAACGGGTAAAATTATTACTCCAGATTTCCGATTAAACATGGTAATATATATTATATTATATTGAATTACCTAATATTTATTCTATTTTATAACCTTTTGATATAAACAAATCATTATAATAATAATATTAATAGAAATTATAGTAAATCACAAATTATCTTTAATTGGGAAATTTTTTTTTTATCAATATCCAATCGGGAATTTAATGTAGTCGCATGTTTCAACATGTAACACTATAATTTATTCTAATGACTTTTCCCTTTTTAATCCATTTAAGGAATTAAGTTGGTACAACGAATGTTATTCTTTCTGTGGTGTATTTTTATTTTTTATTTTTGAGAAAAAAAAAAAAAAATCGAAAGAAGTAGGAAAAAAAAAAAATAAATAAACTTGTTATTTAATGTTTGTTTTTATGAGTTTTATTATGTTATTTCCATGAAAGGTAAATTTTAAATACTGTAAATATGAATCAAAACTAGAAATAAAACCGGAGTTTAAAATGAGAAAAAAAAGATCTAAATATTTTGGTTTTCTTTGTCGAGTAACAGAAAAGGATATATTTATTTACCAATTATCAAATGTTTTTATATTAAGTTTCGTGAATAATCTTTTAATAAATATATAAATATAATATAATAAAACGATCAAATCTATTTACGTAATCGGAATTTCCGTTATTCGTTATAAATCTTCAAAACTATACAATTTAAGGTAATTTATTTATAAAAAGATATCTTCAAAAGATAAATGCCATAAAAAAAATAAATAATATATTAAATTATCGATATACAAAATTATAATAATTATAAAAAAGATATTATATAATAATTTATCAAAAAAGATTTCAAAGATTTTAAAAAAGATTTTTTAGTATTTGGAGATTATAATCAGATTAATCACGTAATTCATGATGACTAGAAAATCATCAAAGTGAAATAAAAAAATTTTTTTTTTTTTTAAACAATAAGAAATTTGAATAATATTGTTTTGAATGTATTTCTTCGTTTGACGGAAAATGCCGTTAAAATCCTTAATTAGGAAATTTATTGTACAATCCAAAAAAGAAAGTATCAAAGAAATCTTTATATCCTGAGTCACGTCACTAATATCCCAGCTGCGCCTTTTGAATAATAATTTAAGGTTCCAAACTTTATTTACTTTATATTTTCATTGATCAATGTTTATTTTTTTTCAGTGTGTAAAAATGTGTAAAAATGTGTAAAATGAATCCTTTCAAACGTTTCATAATCATTTTTCTTTTAAATATCACTCAATTTTTTAATAACTAATATTCCTCAACATATCAAAACAAAAACACAAGTTGCACAATTAATTTCTTTAATTTACACAATGTATTCACACTGTAAAAAGTACTTTATTATTAAAATACCCTAAATGATTTGATTTGATATTTTATTTATTAATTTGGTTTAGTTGATTCTTACAATAATAGTGCTTTATATGGAAATTTGAATGAGGATTACCAGGTGTACTTCTGCGAGTGATGTGAAAGATACCTGTGTGTAACTTGACGCATCATTACGTTTTTTGAATATTTCTTTAAATCAACTTCCTTTATTCATAAATTCAAAAAAGAAGAGAAAAAGAAGAAAAGAAGATATATATATATATATATATATATATAAAAGGATATCATTTATAATATATATATATACATACATATACATATATATATATATAGATGCATGTACATAATGATAATTTACTAACCAATTTTTTTTTCAAATTTTTTTTTTTTTTTTTTACAATTTAGCATTAATTTTATCATTTTTTAATATAGCAAGACCATTACCTAAAACTATAGAATCTCTTTCTTTAGCTTTAGTAATAAAAATAACATTAATTTCATCCGATTTTTCACTAGGTACTTTCCACATAAGAGTTTCCAAAGTATCTCCAGGAAATACAGGAGCTGTAAATCTAACTGATATACTTTTCAATAATTCAGGATTATTATTAGCAAGATGTTTAATTATTGCATGAGCTGCAATCCCATATGAACATAATCCATGTAATATAGGTCTTTCAAATCCTAATTTTGGCGCGACTTTTGGATCTAATAAAGGTTTATTAAAAGGATTAATAAAGGTTTATTATAATATACTTATATAATAATAATGAATAAATATAATTATAGAACACTCATGTACTTTACCTATGTGAAGTGGATTATAATCACTATAATCATCAATAAAGTTTAAAACTTATTAACTTATTAATAGATTAAATAGATTAATCAGTAATTACTGTAATTAAGTTCATACTCACCCAGATAATCGATATAGTATAGCTTGATTTTTACTAGTTGAACAAACATCGACAACATCAGGTTTTTTATCTTTAGGTGGCTTATAACTAGGACTTTTTTGGCCTTTTGAACCACCAAATCCACCATAGCCAACAACAAAACTTTGAGTAGTTAGTACACAATATTCTTTATCAATCTTTGGATCAACTAAAGTATATGTACGTTCTAATAATATTCCTTTTCCTTTATCATATACTCCACTAAGTTTACTACGTAATTCAAATTCTCCGGATGTAGGTAATTGATTTAAAATTTCAATTTTTTGTTCTCCATGGACTATTCTATTTGGATCCATATCAGGTAATCCTGGTGTTGGTCCACTAATATTTATAGTTTCAGCGAATAAATTTACATCTGGTGAGTCACCTTTAAGAAATAATACAACGGGATAAGTCGGAAACGGTGTAAAATTCTTATCTAAAGTTTATAAAGGTTTATAAAGTTTATAAAAAAGTTTATAAAAAGTTTAATTAACGCCTAATCAAAAATTGTCCAATTATAATTAAATTAAATTTAGTAATTCAAAATTAATCAAACCTAGTTCATAAAGATATTTAAATTCATCTTCTTTAACTCCGATTGATAAAGCGTACAAAATAAGATCCCGTTTATTAAATGAAACCTGTAAATATTAAACCTGTAGTGATCAATCAAATGATTAAATAATTCCAGAGATTATAACTTTAATTAATACCTTTTGAGGTGGATATTGATGTCCAACGGCTTTATTTACATCAACTTGAAATTTCGGCATAATTTCAAAATAAAAAGAAAAAAAAANAAAAAAAAAAAAAAAAAAAAAAGATATATAAATATATAAATAAAATATAATTTAAAAAAAGAAAGATTTTTTTTATTTAGAAAAAAAAAAAATTTTTTCTTCTTTTTTTCACGATGATCTTTTCACATTTTACTTTAAAAGGGAATATTGCTTACTCATTATGAATTTTATTATTGGATAAATAAATTTTATTTATTAAACGAATCAAATTTAAAGGAGTTATAGTGTGGGAATGGGCTGGGAATAGAGTGGCGCAGATGTTTATCAAGTGATTTTGCCGCAGCGCATACACATACATTCTTACTTGATTAATCACACAAAGAAACCCGATTTATTTTAGATTATCGAAAATTGTCTAGTTGTTTCTTTGTATAATAATGATCTTTTCTTGAAACAAAGAAATAATAAAAAAAAAAAAATTACAATTAAACAAAGGAAATTAGTTTAAAATCTTTAAAAAATAATCCGAATTCCGATTAAAAACGTACATTGTTTAATAATATTTGTTGATAATTACTTTATAAGTGAATTTTTTTTTAAAAAGAAAAAATTTACCTTATAAAGTATCCGTTAAAAAAAAATTTAATTTGATTTTTTAATTTGATTGGTTGAATTTAAAAGTAAAATTTGATTATGAAAAATTTCATGAATCAAAATTATATTAATAAATTACCGATTTTCTTATTTAATAAATTACCCTACAAAACGCGGGTTTTAAATACCAGTTTTTTTATTGTTGAATTAAAATTTGTAATTCTATCTGGTGACCATTTTTTATTTAAAAATTGGAATAGATTGAATAGATTGTAAATCCATCATCACAAATTAATATATTTTAGGTAAATTTTTTTTTTTTACAACAGAAAATTATACCAAATTATAATCATTCAAAGGAAAACGAATCAAGATCAAAATTTATGTGAATGGTCAACTAAAAAGTTTTTATATATTCGGGTAATAACTTTAAATATTTTTTAGGGAGAAAGTTTTGTACAAATTTTAAATTTTTTTTAATGTAGCGAAATATATAACAGATAATGAAAATCTTTAATATAAATAGTAAATAATAATAATCTTTCGTACATATAACATATATATGAATTACATTAACAAGTGTGCCCCGAATGTTGAGTGGCTGCCATTAACGGGAATAAACAAATAAATTTTTTCTTTTTATTTTTTTTTTTTTATTTTTTTTTTTTTTTNAATACACGGATCCAAACTCTAAATTATCACATTTTTTTAAATTTATTTTTTTTTTTATTTTTTTATTTTTTTAAAGTTTTTTAACATTCATTTAAAGTTTAACTTTTATTAAATACAGGTTCTCCTGCTAAATTAATTTTTATATAAGCTTACACAAAAACAACAAATAAATAGATTTATATTGTAACAGGTAATTTATTATTTGTGGCTTGGAAGGAAGTACAAAGTATTATGTATAATTTGTATATTATGTACGCGTGAATTCTACTGCGCCAAAAAAGAACTTCCTTCCGGGTACCCAATTATTTTAATGCTTTTTTTATTTGTATCATGTTCATCGTGCTTGACTCATCGTGCTTGCCGTATTATGACATAGGATGTAATAAAATTATTGGTTAAATGATTTCTCTTCTTTCTCTCTTTTTTTTTATTTCTTGAAAAATTATTTTCCTAATAAAGTTATTGATTTTATTATAAAATGAAACGCCAAACAAAATAAAGGAAAAAAAAAAGGAACAAATCATGAAACGATTGAAACGTTATGACAAATTAAAATCTTAATTAAATTATATCTCATTATAATAATAAAACAATGATCATTATTATCAATATTTTTATTGGTTACATTTTTTTTAAACAGGTTTGTAATTATACTAATAGCAAAGGATTTGTTTATGAAACATTTTTTTTAAACCATTTTTAAAAATATTTGACGGGCGTAAATCCGCTTTATCGGACTTTAAAAAGATGTCATTTTATAATGTTTCACAACGCTAATTTAATAAAAAAAATCATCGTATTATAAATTAAGATAAAAGAAAGTATTCAATTTAATTTAAATATTTTAAATATATAATAATAAAATTTACGCGTCATTATGATTGTCCATATTATATGAAAAAATCGGGAAAAGAAGGTAAATTCGGGATCTTCTAAAGCCGAATTACTTATTATAGTATATCTTATGTTTATATAAGATAAAAAAAAAAAAGGGTCAAGGAACCTTTCGCGTTTAGGTTTCATAAAACAATATCCAATTATAATCCCTTATCTCTTTCAAATCGATTATTTGTTTAAATTATGGTACTACGATAACTCGGTTCTTGAATTTTCTTTAGAAAATAAAGGAATTCACTTAATATATATTTTAATATATTTTTTTTTTTAAAAAAAAAAAAAAGAAATAAAAAACAAATAAAAAATATATTACATTGATCTCTGGTAAATCGGAAGAGAATCAATTATCCTTAGTTCAATTTGATTATAATAAAGTTTAAAAATTTTCCCTCCCCTTTCTCTTTTCAAATTAACAACACGTGATATTTTTCACTCCCTTTAAACAAAAAAAAAAAAATTGGGAAATAACATTTTCCTTTTGGAAATTAAATTGATCGGATCTACAGATGAATTAGCTTTATTAAGATTAGGGTTTCAGGGCACATGTTATAATAACTAAAGTACCTCCGTAAATGTCATAATTATAAACCTTTTTCCTCTCCGTTAAAAATATCGTTAATTGGGTAATTTAATTCTTATTTTATTCATCTAAAAGATCTTTTAAAGGCAAATTAAAAGGTAAACATTAAATACGCCAATAAACCAAAATGTTCTTATTATAACTATATTTTTGTAAGAGAAAACACACAAGAAAGTTCATATATATTATTACGATATGCTAAAGGTTATGCATGTAAAATAATTTCTAATCTAACGTAAATTATAAATGAACCGATTTCAAATAATAATTAATAATAAAACATGATCTCATGATTAAAAGAAAGAAAAGTCTTTTTAGAGAAAATAATCATCTTATTTGTAAATTATTATAATAATATGTAACAGGGTAAATATTGAAAAAAAAAATTTTTTTTTTTTTTTATGAAAATTTGTTCAACATTATTAAGTCAAAATTATTAACTAAAATCGACAATGATTTACAATGACTTAAGCTAATTCTTGTATTATTGTATGTGTAAATGTGTAATGTAAATGTAAATGTAAATGTATATATAATATATGTATGTGTAATAATATATATATAATACTTTACAGTACAATAAATATTAATTTAATCAAGGGTCCTTGATTCTGAAATATTTTCGGATCTCGGATTATCCGTTCCCATTAATTTTTACGATAATCACTTGTGATAATTGTGATATATGATGGATAATCTATTCCCCCGGATATTTTAGTAATTATAATTAATGTACTGTATAAAAGTTCTTACACAGAGAAAAGTGATTTATCGATAATTTCAGTAAATCATCATTTATTTATTGTCATAACAAAAAAAAAATATTTTAAGATATTGAATTTTTTTTTTTTTAAACGAATTACGATCAATTTTCGTAAGTGCCAAGAGTCCAAGACAAAGGTTTGTCATATTTTTTATATTTAGAACAGTTTGCCAAGACTTTATTTTCCACATGATTTAGACGATGCTTCTTTTCTCCTAATCATTCAAATCATTCACGTGTTTTTTTTTGATCTTCTACAAGTGATCAGGTGATTAATTGTGTCAAAAAAGTGATGAAAATCATGAAATATTCGCTTTTACATCTGATGAAACTGATGAAACTGATGACGTGTAGTTACAAATAATTTTGTATACAGGAAGTTTAATAAACTGATATTTTAACTTTCCAATGGACTCTCATAATCCAATGATCTATTTTAATGATTTATATTCTAATGATCTATTTAACTCTAATGACTTATTTTATTCTAATGACTTATTTTATTCTAATAATCTATTGATCTACTTTATTCTAATGACTTATTTTATTCTAATGATCTATTTTATTCTAATGACTCATTTTATTCTAATGGTCTATTTTATTATATGATCTATTTTATTATAATGATCTGTTTATCTATTTTTCAAATGATTTATACTTTTTTTTTAAAAAAAAAAATGATTTTTTTCAAAAATGATTTTTTTACTGATCACTTTTACTCTCGTTTCAATTATATATATCCCACTATATATCCCACAAAATAATTATCTCTCTCCCAAATCAATTATATATCTCTCAAAAAATTCTTTCGAATAAAAATGACCATAGATAATAGAACACTTGAAACTATATTTTTTGAAGTTGAGGCTATTATCGATCATAAAACAAAATCAAATGTAAGTAAAGATAATCGAATTATCGTTATTTCATAACATTTCTTTCATATGTACCTATATTTTTAAGGGAGGTATGGAATATTTGCTTAAATGGAAGGATTTTGGTGATGAAGAGAATAGTTGGATCGATGAGGAAGACACGTAAGATTTTTTATCTTATGAAAAATTTGATTTAATGAATTAATTAAAATAAATATATCTGATAATACAATTTTTTTTTAAAAAAAAGAAACGCACCATCATTGATCAGAAATTATTGGATAAATAAGAAAAATATCGTTAAACGCAGAGGTCGCCCTCGTAAAAATAGTGCCAATCGAAATCGTAGAGGTCGTAAATCTCTTAAGAAAAATAATGTTAATAAAAAGCAAGAACTTGATTTAACCATTATTAAAGAAACAAATGGCTCGAATGATGATAATAATACCGTTGTCAGTGATAGTGACGTTTCCACGAATGATTCCAATGAAATCACTATTGATATTCCCCAATGGTTACAACCTGCTAGTGAAGAAATTGAAAGGACAAATCAGTATTTTGCACTATATACTCACAATAATTGGGAAAATCATGCGACTATTTTGAATGTTGTACGTGAGACCGAGAATGATTCTGATGATGTTTTTGTTCAAATAAAATGGTGAGTTCATAATCATTATATGATACGGCTCACCCTTACTATAACTCTAGTTATACCGAATTTTTATTATAAATTCACTATAATTTTCGTTATAAAAAGGGTGAACTATAGTGTCTAATTAATAAGTGCGATATAATTGATTCCTTTTTTTTTATTCAAAATTGAAGGCCTGATGGAACAGATAGCTATCATATTTCGAGTGAAGTATATCAAAAATGTCCATTAAAGGTATTTTAGAATTATTATATCTAGAATTTTATGTACCTTCTTTCTTTCTTTTAACCAAAATATTATGAATATTTTTTAGTTGATCCAATTTTACGAACAACATCTCGTGATTAAAAATTAATAATTTACCTCTTTTTGGAAAGTCACTATCCAGAAATTCATTCTTGATTCTTTTGTATCCTTATGTATAAAATTTAATGCGTTAAAAAATATGTATAATTAGAAATCGTTTAGAACATTCGATGAATTGCAGCATCAAAGCTACTTTCTTACCTGTACCATAATAACTTGCAATTATTGATTTTTTTTTTGTTGTCATTTATATTTTTAACTATAATACATTTGTCACAAGCTACTTACCTGTACTATAATAACTTGCAATTATTGATTTTTTTTTTTGAATGTTTTTTTTCGGTCTTTTTGGACTGAATTATTGTCCTTTTTTTTCAGAATTTTTTTCGGTACATATTTTTTTTTTTGATTCCTTTTTTTTCATATCTGCGGATCTGCAGCTGTCTCTTATACACATCTAGATGTGTATAAGAGACAGGCTATAACCAGGCTATTTAATTACAGTTCATCAATTGCCCATCATCATGCTTATGATTAAATCTTCCACTTCTTCTACCTCCCCTTTGTTACTTTCTTTTCATTCTTTATTATTATGTAATGTTGAATCAATTGCAAAAAGAGACTTTATTATTGCATTTTTAAAATTGGGGAAATTACGAATGTTTCTGTGTTAACAAGTTCAATATGTTATTGCATAAAGGACTTTATTATTGAATTTTTGAAATTTGAGAAAATTACGAATGTTTCTGTGATAAACAAGTTCAGTAATGTTTAAATCAATTGCAAAAAGGGACGAATTTTTGAATTTGGGAAAAATAACAAAATGTTTCTGTGATAAACAAGTTCAGTAATGTTTGAATCAATTGCAAAAAGGGACGAATTTTCGAAATTTGGGAAAAATAACAAAATATTTCTGTGATAAACTAGTTCAGTAATGTTTGAATCAATTGCAAAAAGGGACGAATTTTCGAAATTTGGGAAAAATAACAAAATATTTCTGTGATAAACAAGTAAGATGGTTAATTAATTAGGGCAGATAATTGAGTGTCAACCAGTTAATACTATAAAGAAATTACATGCAATTTGACTCACGAATTATTAAAGATTTAGTTATCCAATCATCACGGTACCCAAGCATAACGGTACTATACGTTCAACAAACACGACCTTTCCAAAACATTTATAAATCATTTTAACCTAAAGAGCAAAAAATTAAAAAGAATAAATAAAATCAATAAAAAGTTGGGTAATTAAGAAATTCACATAATTAAGAAATTCAAATAATTAAGAAATTCAAATAATTAAGAAATTCACATAATTAAGAAATTCACATCAATTTAAACTCACCCTTAGTGATAACAAACTTGAATCGAGAAATCATCAAGAGTAAGTTCTTCTCGAGAAAGATTTTAATAGTCAACCTTCGATAAAATAACTTTGGCCTTGGCTCTTATATTGTAATCAAATTGAGCACTACCATCTGCTGGCTGTTCACTATAGTCGCAGTGGTGTTGTAAAGGTTTTTCGATTAAATGTTTAACTCTAAAAATTTTAATTCGTTATTTCTGTAAAGATAAGCCTTTCACGGACCCATTCACGGAAAATGTAAATAATTCGATAAATTCCGTGATATAAGGTTATTAATTCCGGAAATATGAGCCAGCCTTCTACGGAAAAAAAAAGATGGAATATAAAAAAAGGATTGACTTTTTTTACAGGGTAATTGACCAACACCCTTCTACCAAATAACAACATAGTTAAACTTTTTCGATTACTTTCGCAATAAGGATTATCTACTGCTGTCCCACATCTTCTTTAACATTAACATGCCAGCAGCATTGTTTGCATCATGTAATTTTGTGATGGAACCAGCTTCTCTATAGGTAATATACTCTAACCCCTTTCTATAAGTAGATTCCTATTTATTACTCACCCGGTCGCCATGAAGACAGAATAGAAGTCTTCATATGACTTGCATGTGTAACCCACTAGTGATTTAATATAGGAAAAACTCGATCTATCAGCGCTTTATGTGCGTTTACAACTAAATGAGAAGTTCTTGCTTATAATTAATATAACCAATAAAACATACAAGTGGTCATTTCATACTACGTTATGGATAGTTAAATGATTATTAATGTCTAACAAAGTGTTCAATATTTTCATCCAAACTACCCTATGTTAAATTCACACGTGCACACTATCGTTTTGCTAGCAAACTTGCTTTTTCGATTACTTTCGCCATAAGGATTATCTACTGCTGCTGTCCCCATCTTCTTTAATATTAACATTCCAGCATTGTTAATATACTCTAGTGATTTAATGTACATTAGAATTTTTTTTTTCCAAGTCTTTTCATAAGATCTATCAATGCTTTATGTATTTTTACAGCTAAACGAGAAGAAAGTATGGTCTTCTTGCTTATAATTAATATAATGAATAAATCAGGTAAGTCACTACGTTATAGATGGTTGAGATATGACAGATGATTACATGCGCGCCAGCGCATTTGAATACCATCAAACTAATCTAGTGTCATAGTTAATCCAAGAATAATCATCCATGCATCGATGAATATGTTTTTCTCGCTAAATATTTAAACCAATGATTGGTCACCTATTTTTTTTGTTCGTACATCAAGAGATTATAATACATATTATTGTTCGGAATATGCGGATTTTAATGACCGATATTTTCATGAGAAATCCAATGTTGAAAACGTTGTTAGTAACATTGATTCTATTGGTCACCGCGGTATTCCTAATGACTGAACTATAACTCGAGATATCGGTCGACCGATATCTCTTTTCCCAATCCAATAACTATGATGGGATCAGAATCATCAGATAATATATTATTCTTTTTAGTTTAAGATATATATAAAGTGACTTTTTAATAGTAACACCATGAAAAAATGTATTTAATTGGATGCGTAAAGAGTTACTGAAGTAAAAAAAATATAAGATAATTTTTTTTTTTTTGAAAAAAAAAGAACTTTCGTAAAATGAAAGAAACAGAAAAAAAATCTCTAATTATATATATATATAATAATTATATAATATTTCTAGAAATGTTGTAAGCAATAGTTTGTATTTATCCGGAAATTTTTCATATGAATTAAAATGGTAAAATGATTGTCCTATCAATAAAGGGTAAAAAGGCACGACTAATCATAAATAATGTGCTACTACATAAATAAAGTTTGAAATGTTTGGAATGTCTTTAAATAATAATGTCTATTATGAAAATTTTTGATTACTTTAATTAAAAATAATAATTAGTAATCATTAGTTTATTTCCTTTTTCTTCTAAAATGGTAATGTTTTTACTGTATTATTTAAATTAAAACTTTATTTAGACATTACAAAATTTAACTTTACATTTTTTCCTTAAATTATGATATTCATGAAAAAAAAAAAAATTTTAAAGTTCATAATTAGCACAAAAAAGGGATTGAATTATTGAACAAGATCTGACCATGTGAAAAATTTCTAGATTATTATTCATTGTCCCCGGATATATTGTGTACTATAAAACTATAAGACATCGGCCGTACGAATCATTTACCGAAGAATTTTTATATGACCATCTCTCGCTATTTAAATGATCGGATTTACTTTTTTTCCAGATAAAAGATTCGATAAATCTTTTTTTCTTATTTATAATGGAAAAATGGAAACAATGTCAAAAAAAAAAAAAAAAAATTGCGTAAATAAAACAAAATAATAATAGAAGATAGTGTGTATTTTTTTGATCTCATGTTTTTTTGTGTAATTAAATGATTTACAATGCATGCTGAAGGAAGGGGATTAGGGGGGATGTTTTTGTGTGCAACCTAGTGGGGAAGAAAAATTAATGATTTGCTTTCTTTGTTGTTTGATAAGGATAAGTGGGAATAGAGAATAATTATTTATTACAATCTTTTTTTTTTTTACTTTCAATTTCAACTTTATTTAATTTTTTATAGTAGATTGTTTTATAATTTTATTAAATCGTAATACCTAATACGTATGAGGAAGCCCATTAACAATTGGTGTAACACAAAAAAAGGGACCTCTAATCTGTTTGTTTGTTTTTAAAATGAAAAATTAACAAAGCGATTTCTGTCAAAAATTAAGGATAGAGTTATCCCATTAGGAAATTTTATGAAAGACAAAATGAACGATTGGATGTGATTTATGTTACACGAAATCATTCAGAATAATCCTTTCAAAATTGTAATTTAATTTGGTTAAACAACTAATATATATATGGATTCCTCGATTACATTACATTATCAATTAAGATTAACATTGTAAATCAGATATTCTTTCATTTATTTTAGGATTTATATATAATGAACGCTTTTTGAAAGAGATTTCTTTTTCAATAATCATCATTTTTTCTTTGATCCATTCGACCTATTAAGCAAGGATAGTAAAGATGGAAAGTCAAAGTCAAATTAATCAAGAAAACCCTTTACAAAATGAATGTTTTTTACATTATTTGATACATAACAATGTGCCCTGTGATTTCAATAGACTTCATATTGATCCTTCGTACGCTCAAGCCTTGTATGGTGATTACTTTAATCATTTAATTTTCGAATACTTCAGACCAAAATTTCCGCCATTCATAAACGTGGAGGAATATGTCTCCGAAAATGAAAAAAATAAGAAAATCAAAGACATGAGTAAAATGAACAAAGGGAATGGTTTTATGGTTTACCGAAAAATACTCAATAAACATCTGGAAATATTAGGAGAACGTATTACTATGCAGCAACTTTCTCCTCTAGCTGGATCATTATGGGGTAGTGAACCAGACCAAGTAAAAGAGTTCTATAAAGAACTTTCAGAAAAGATAAAAAAAGTACATAATGATCGAGTAGAGAGCTATATAAAAAACAATCGTAATGAAAACATGAGCCGTAAAACAATTAAGGATATGACTACAAAGAATGGAGGAAATGGCTTTATTATTTTTAGAAAACAACTTAATGAACTTTTAAGATCATTAGGATACAACTTTAGTATGCAGGAACACTCAAAGATTGCTAGCTATCTTTGGAGTATACAACCAAAAGAAGTGAAAAGTCATTTTAAAGAACTTTCGGGTCAATTTAAGAAAACACTTAATGATCAATTAAAGCAAATGTTTTGTAAATCAGACAATGATAATAATGAACCAATCATTGATAACGACTCCTTGAATATAAAATCAAATAATGATGACAATGGATTGATCATGAGTTATATAAAACTAGACAATGATGCGTCCACAAATGATGTTCACGATTCCTGCTGGACGGGAGAATCAAAACCATATGGATCGTTCACAAATGACTTCAATAATTACCTGAAATTGGGACCAGAATCAATCGTTGAAAATTCAATCGAAGAGAATTTTTTTTTGACTCAATAATAATATTTTATTTTTAATATTTACATAATATTTATATTTTTTTCACTTTAATTTCTTGTAATTTATTTATATACCTTTAACTTATTATTTTTTTGTTGTATCATTTTTTTTTTTGTTTTATTTTTTTTTTTTCAATTTTTTTTTGTTCAATAAATTCAAATAAATGTCCATTTTTTTTTTAAAAAAAAAAACAAAAGTAAATATTATATTTGTTTATTGAAGTTTGAACAAAAGTGTGATCGCCACATAAATATTTCTAAGATCGTCCTCGAAGATCTCAGTAATTGAGGCGAAATAAATTAAAAAAATTTGTGCATAAAATAAAAATAGAATGCGTGATCAAAGTTCATTCTAAATTGATTACATATTTAAAATATAAAATTTCTCTATTTGTATGATTACTTTAAAATAATTTTACTTAATTTTAAGCCAATGTTCGAATCAAATTTTGTCAAATTAATTCACAAGTAAAATTTTAGTATGTGTGATCATATTCCATTCCAAATGATCATAGATTAATAACCAATCTGAATTTAAAGCGAAAATTCGTCATTTGTTCGCTATTTTGGGTAATTACTCTAAATTTAAACCAATAGTGTTTAATTGACATTCTTAATGAAATGAAATAAACAAAGTGAATTTAATGTCGGAAAAATGGGGAAAATAGTATTGGTTGATTATTACAATGACGAAAATCTTTGTCTAATTGAAAATACAATTTCTTTTGAGATTATCACATGGAAAGGTGATTATATATTATATGTATTCGGGAGAGAAATTCTTGGGGGAAATCTCTTGGAAGATTTGGATAAACAATAAAAAATTTTAATTTTTTTTTTCATCATCATATTTTGGGGAATAGAATGTATTAAAAATGACAATACTTGGGGAAAATAGCTTGAAAAGATTGAAAAAAAGATTGGATAAACAATAATAAATGTAAAATCTTGTGATTATTTTTGGGGAAATTTGTAATATTTTTTGGTCATGAGAACTCTAAAATGTATAATTTTATAAATTTCTTCCTAATAAATCACGGAATAACTATGTTAAACGAAAAAATTTTGATTATAATATATTACAATAAAATAAATCCCCAAATTCTTTGTTTATTTAAATAAAAAGTTAATTGTGATTATTCTATTATCAATGCTCTTTACTTTACTAAAATGGATTAATTTTGTTTTGCAAATTCTTATTTAATCTTTGAATTTTTTCCTTCCAAAAATAAATCATTTGAAAGAATATAAAGTTTATCAAAGCTTTTACACTTTTCCATAAAAAAAAAAAATATATCTCCTTTTCTTTCAAATTTCAAAGGTAGTAAAACATCTTACAATGAATCTTTCTTATTATTTTCTCACAATGATTAGTTGCTCCAACTTCAACTTATTGATTCTCGTTATCTTGGTTTTGATCCTTTCGAAAATATGCATTTCCCGTCAAAATCAAGTCGAGGATCGAATTGAAGTTCTAAAAGAATTAATGAGACAACGCCCTCTTCCTATAAACACTATAAACCCGCGCAAAAAACTTCATTTGTATAATTTTTACTGCACAGTATTTTATTCACATTCGGAATATCTTAATGTTCCAAATGACCCAAAACTAAAAGTACTTGTTAGTAAATTATTTAGTGAAGAATCAAAAGAAACTAAAGAATATTACCAGTCAATATACAAATATCTTGTAGAATCAAATAAAAATAATAAATCAACTTACAACCATAATAATATAAAATCAAAAGAAAATGATAAGTCAATTCGCGACTATATTATTGTAGAAATGGAATCAAAAGAAAATAATAAGTTAGCTCGCGAATATACTATAAAATCAAAAGAAAATAATGGGTTAATTCGCGACTATACTTTAAAATCAAAAGAGAATAATAAGTTAGCTCGCGAATATATTATAGAAATGGAATCAAAAGAAAATAATAAGTTAGCTCGCGAATATACTATAAAATCAAAAAAAAATAATGGGTTAATTCGCGACTATACTTTAAAATCAAAAGAGAATAATAAGTTAGCTCGCGAATATATTATAGAAATGGAATCAAAAGAAAATACTACTTTTACAGTGTATAGTAAAAATCAAAAGGAGAAGGATGAAAGAAATAAGAGTAGTTTTTTATATAATTTTTTGAATTTTTGTTTTTTTTGAAATAAGACCTATAATATTTTTTATATTATAGAATCAAAAATTATATTTCACACCGCAGTGTTCAACACCGCAGTTATATGATTTATATATTTTTTTATTTGTTACCCTAACTTTTTATTCTATATTATTAATAGTCTAGCTGTAGGCTATAGTTTTTGTGAAATCACATACTATGGTAAAGTCGTATAGAATAATAAGTTTCAACTTTAAGATAATATAATAAGGATTTAAATTTTAAGATTTTTAATTGTAGACAAAATTAACATAAAATTTATAGTTTTAATTTTAGTAATATATACTTCTATATAATATATATATTTTCACCTTCTTGCAAGATTAAGGCAATAAGATATTGGCGGACAAATTGCAATCATTTAAACATTTAGGTTATCTTTATGTAATTAATTAACATTGTAAATTTTAAGATTAGATTATTTGTCAAAAAAAAAGGCGGAGAAAAAAACGTAGTTAAAAAAAAAATGTAAAAAAAAAAAATTCAAAAAAAAGGAAAAAAAGGGAAAAAAAAAAATAATTAAAAAAAAATAGTATAATCATGTCAATAAATTGATACATTATCGCACAAATTGTGTTTATATCATTTTTGCAATTGGATTTGGAATCAATCTTGCACGAATAACTATACTAACTATACTTACGGAATTAGGTAGCCGAGAATAAGTGTTTAATTTCGAATAAAATTGATATACTTACATCTACGATATATTTCTTCGCGAATAAAATTTTAATGCACATTTCTCTTTAATAAGCGAGCCGGAACAAAACCAGTAATTGAAGACTTCCACTAGCTAATAAAAGATATGGTATATAAGTTGCAGTAATTCACGATCTAATTTTAACATGTCGAAAACTTTTAACCGTAATTTATTGTTAGAATATATCAATACATTCTCTATAGAACCATCGATGATGGACGCAATTCTTGCCCGACAACGATTGCTTGAAAAGAGATATTCCGGATGAACATTAATTTGACGAATCTTTGCCTTTAAGTTCTGTCCAGCCTGATCGTTATATATATCAGTCAATATGTCGTTGAATCGTTAACGATTCGATCAATGGCATAAAAAATTTTCAAAACCTAGTCGACAATATAAGGTATCGATATATTATTTTCCGACATGACAGACATGAATAATATTCTGAAGACATTTTCCCAACTGGATATTCTCTGAAAATTGATTTACGAAATTATAAATTAATTTGATAATAAATAATACAAATACACAAATAATTTTTACAAATAACTAAATAACGAAATGTTTTGATTCCATATATAAAATAATCATTAACCATTTCATATTTTTCACCGAAATTTATTGTGATGTTACAAAGATTAATTATAATAAATTCCATGAAAGTTTTTTGCCGTAGAATTGATTTGATTTAAATCATGATTTAAGTCAGGAAAGTACGGTATATCTCAATTGGGTCACGGTACGTTTCGCTGAAGTCCATCTTGTCGAAGGGAAGTTTCTCCGAAAGGATATTTCGCCGAATCCCTTTCCCCATTTCATTGAAGGACATTTAAAATGTTGGTGATTGACATATTTCCTTAATCATTAACCATTTGATACAAAAAAAATAAAAATGCCCGAAGAACAAATTCTCTTTAAACTATTTTATTTTCACTGGTTTCGAAAAATTATTGGATATGATCTTTTTTTGAACTTAGGACCGAATTTCCTTTAATTAAAAAAATAAACAAACATGACTTGATACAATGTATATTGCTTAAGAATTCTATATCTTTGGCGAAATGTCGGCAAAATGTCTTTCAGGAAATGGCACTTTGGTGAAATATCTCTTCGACGAAATTGCTTCTGTGAAATGGGTTTTAGTGAAATGGACTTTGGCGAAAAGTCTGAATACCCTCAATTGGTATATCGAACAAATTTTGTCAAAAATTTTTATAGGATCAAGCATTTCGGTATATCAATCAATTTTCGGATCCATTCGGGAAAATGTCTTACTTTTCGGGCAATCGTTATCGGGCAAAAGATACGCACGTACAGTATGTCGGAAAATCGCAATGTACAGAAACCATACCTTTCTAACTAATATTGGTTAAGCAATCCAACGACTTCGTTTCTTTTGGTTGGAATCTAGAGTCCACTCTTTTGTCAAAATATTACTACATTATTCAACAGGTAATTTTAGCAATTACTCCATTGACAATGTAATAAAGAGAGATTTATATTTCATATAAAATATTAAAGATTAAATTCACGTCACGAAAAATTTCACGTCACGAAAAAAAAGGAGTTAAAAACTTTTTTAAATGGATCCCTATAAAAATGAAATGGGTTAAATTCATTTTATATTTGTGTTCATGTGCAAAAAATGTCTAAAAAGCACCATTTTGTCCGATTTATGGCTTATTGCAAAAAAAACAAAAAAACAAAAATTAAACAAAATAGTGGTTTATTAGTCATTTATTACACGAGCACAAATATAAAACAAATTTAGCACATTTCGTTTTTTATAGGGATCTCATACACGATTACGTTCACCAATTGGAACAATTTGAAACTCATCAAATGTGAAGAAATGCTGATTACCGTCGCTTCAAAGACGAAAATTATATACAGTTTGATTTTATTTCAAAGAAAAAACACCAGTATAAATTTTTTGGTACACGAGCAATATAATTTAGAGGTGGTATTTGGCCGGAGTTATCATTAAATTTGGTCGAAATTAAATATAATGATTCATTCATTTTATTATTATCACGTGTTACTCAGATTATAGTTTTGAATTTTTCTCTAATTCCGCTCTAAATTATGTTCTCAATATGCTCAATAGATTTGAACGGTCTAAAGAAGACAATATTGCAGAAAGCACTACTGTATTCGGCGCTATACGAAAATCTGCACGTTTATTACCCGATCATAAGAATAAGATATCGGTCTAAGACACGATTCCAATAGTATTTCTATTTTCTAATTTATAAAATAAAAATAATCGATAACAATCAGTAATGTGCACTGGAAGTTGGAAACATATTTGTACTAGTTTTGTACTTCCAAATCTTCCAATTTAAATATTATTTCCAATTATTGGAAGTTTCTAATGCAGACTACCGACGATAACGATAGAATAATTTAATTAAATCGTTTGGATTCGGCAAAGAAATTTAGGTGAAAAAAGTTTTATAAATGTATTGCACGAGATTTGCTTTATTTCCAAAAGAATAAACGAATTTGACTAAGGCCATACAAACTTGATTTTATGGTTTTCATAATATAAAAATTTCATCAATAACCCGGCAACCGGCTTTTAATTTTTTTTTTTCAAGAATTTTATGTGAAATTTTTTTTCAATTTTTAAAAAATTCTCACCCGGCATAGTAACAATATAAAAATTTTTTTTCATTTTAAGACCTAACAAAAACTGATCCGGCCGGACTATGAAAACCATTTTACCACTTTGTGTCGCCTAATCGAAAATTAGTTAAAACTTTTGAGAATTTTTCAAATGGCTCGTATCATCTATTTAAATTAACAGCATTACAGCATTTATACTATAAATATTTTAGAATTACCGATAAAATCATGTACGTTTTTTTTCAAACACTTGTTATTTCATAAGTACAATATATTGCAGCGAATACGGAGTTCTCATAAGATTTCTATAAAATAACCGGTTTTATCATTACTTTTCACGTATACACAGATGAATTTTATACTTTTATACTAGCATTTATAAACCAGTGCAATAAAAATTGTATATATGTTTGTTTTACTAGTGGGTCGAAGTTCAAAATTTGAAACATTTAAATAATGTATCACAATGAATTGAAACTTTGAATGAATTCACGAGTCCTTTGTAAAGGGTTTATCATTTTTATTATTATTTCAACGATTAAACAATTAATTGAGATTGTTCCTTAACCGTGGCGTCTTAAATCACATGAACTACCACAGTATTTTTTTTTTGAAAAAAATAAAGCTACAGAAATGAGATTAATTTTAAAATTTTTATCTGATATCATGTGGCTTTGAGTGCATGACTAATACGATTTCGCGTATATGCCAAAATGCATTAAAATGGGTTAAGTTAACTTTTTATTTAACACAATACGATAATAAACGGATAATTGCGATTATTTTCGATTAAATTTTTTTTTCTCGGTATTCTCGATATCGGAAGTATCGGACGGATACCACCGTAATTTATTATTATACGGTATTTTATTTTGCGTATTTTGCGGATAATTCTAATTCGGAATAATTAAATTTTGGCGGAAAAAAAAAAATTTCGTAAAGGTCTTTTTATCTTATCAGAAAAATTCCGCCTCTCCAAGATTTCTCCATTTTAGCTAGATTATTAATATATTTTTACTTAACATTTATAAGTTTTGTAGTAGGTGTGAAATTGTACCGAATTTTCTATATTTATATAAAATGTTTATCCCTTTTTCTGAATAATGGGCGAAATAATACAATCATATAACAACAAAGTACGTTTGTTTAGTGTATCAGCTCTGCATTTAGTTTTTTTTTATTGTCTCGAATTTATTACATGTTACATGTTAAGGGATAATTTTTTAACTCAGTGAAAAGGGCAGAATGAACATTTTACTGAAACCGGCTATTAACTATTAACATAGTTTTATACCCTGAAAATCCGTTTTACCTAGAGTAATTTAGAATTATAATAAACTGCGGGACGTATTTGCAAATCATATAGGACAGAACCAAAAAAAATTTTTCCTAATAAATTGCTGCGGGACTTTTACAATTGTCGTTGGGGACATAAGGACATATCAGCAAACACACAACACTATTCAAATTTCTTTGCACAGTAGACAAAAAAAAAATAAAAAGAAAAAAAAAATAAAAAATATGAAAAATTATTTGTAGAGAACAAAACCAACAACCCTAAACTTTTTTACTTTATTTTTTTCTTATCTAAAGAAAAAACTAAAATAAAAAAAAATTGTTTACCAAAAAGGACAAATTCTATTAGTGCGAGAAGGAATAGGAAAGAAAATTAAAAATTATAAATATACTAAATAATAACCTAAGTGTCTATAATAAATTTTTTTTTTTTCTTTTAAAAAAAATTGAGAAATTAAGTGAAGAAAAGGAGGGCGATAATATAATTATTAAAATATTATGTATTTTTTTTTGTTTTTTCCTATTTTCCTATGTTTTCTAAATTTTCCTAATTTTCACTTGTTACGATATTGGGATTTTCCAATATAAAATAAGATTGTAAAAAAAAAAAAGAAATTAAATGCTATTGTGAAAAACCAAATAAAAAAAAAGCATTCACATCAAAATAATGACTAAAAGAGCTGTTAAATAAAATAAAGAAAAAAAGAAATAAAATCTATTAAATATTTACTTGACTATTTCTAATTTCTTAATACTTTTTTTTTTTCTACTACCTACTAGTGTTGTGTGCTTTGCTTTGCTTATTTTTGGCTTTTCTTAAAACAGGTTACTTATAAATTTCTGTGTGCAGTAAATTGGCTTCACAATAAAAAATCCCATTTTCGTTTTTCACTTAATAAATTCCCAATTAAAAAGTAGGTTTGTAAATGGTATATATTTATATGTATGTAAAACGAAACATGTATACTACATTTTTTTTCCAAGCTCACCGTCTAAGGTTAGTGAAACAAAGAAAAAAAAAAGAGAAAAGGAAAAAAAAAGAAAAAAAGTAGGGAATTGTTGAATAAATAAAAAAAAAGAAGAGAATAAAAAAAAAATGTTCATTCGATGTTGTACTAAGAAAACTAAGAAAAAAGGGGGGAAGAGGGGAAAGGTGAAAAATGTACATACAAAGAAGGAAAAAAAAACCCAAACCCAAAAGAAAAACGGAAAAGAAAAAAAATAAATAAATTAATAATAACGACAAAAAGAACCACAAACCGGTTTTGCCAAAACCCAAGAACCAATGAACCTTCTTTTTTTATAGATATAAATAAATATATTCTTCTTTTTTTTTGTAAAAATTTTTCTTTTTTCTTTCTTTCTCAAAAAAAGGAGAATGCAAATAAAAAAAAATTTTTTTTATTGGAGGTATTGACCCGATGTATCAAGACTATTACCATTGTGGCTCACAGAACCACCTATGTAAGGAAATTCAAATCCAAGCATTTCGGTGAATGAACCATTGTTCGCATAATATTGAACAGTAGAAGCAGGATTCGAAGATGGGACGGTTGCTGTTGGAGTGATGTGATGATGTTGCTCGTGATGAAGCATCATCTCAGCAAGCATTTGCTGTTGTTGCTGTTCAACATCAGGAACGAAACAGAAATCCAATTGTTCAACCGTTTGATTAGAAGCGTTATAATGTGTTAAGGGAATGGGCTGGAAGGAGAAATGTTGAGCATTTCCCTGATGATGATGATGTTGTTGTTGTTGCTGTTGCTGCTGTTGTTGTTGTTGTTGATGATAAGTTAATTCATGCAATAACTTATAATCGTGATCATTTTCAGGAGGGGTAAGAGGGGTTATCGGAGTTATAGGATTAGAATTAATGAATTCTCCGGGATTTTCTGTAAAATGAGCTGACAACAAGGGAATCTCAGGACTAGGAAGTATTGTGGCATATGTACTTGAAGTATTATTATTATTAGAATTTTGTTGATTGAATCCAGCCATTCCGTTCATTGATAAAGGTAAGTCCAATTTAGTAGGTGGTTTACTGTTAACATTCTTTGTTGATCTTCTTCTAACGGGTCCTGGGTTTGTTGGTTTATTTTCAACCAAATTATTATTATTGCTATTATTGTTATTATTATTTGATGAATTTGTTGAATCTTTAGTACTTTGTTTTCTTTGTTGCCTTCTTTTATCAACTTTGGACTTATTTTTATTAGGACGGTAAACATAATTTGGATAAGTTTGCATATGTTCCAATTTTTTTCGATCGGCGTATCTTTCCCATTCTAATCGAATTTCTTCAGGTTCTTTTCTCCACATATCACTTATTGTTCTTGATACTTCAGCATTGGTTAAATTTCTTTGAGATGCGATGATACCAGGTTGTTTTGCTCTTCTATAAAGGATAAAAGCATTTGGAGGTCTTGGAGTTCTTTTTGCAGGTTGAGATTTTGAATTTGCATCACCATCTATTACATTTGAAGTATCAAGATTTTCTTGATTTATTAAGTCACCACCGGCAGCGGCACCAGCTGCGAGAGCGCGACTTGAAGCTGTAAATTCACCGAAACCGTCTTGCATAACGAATTGATGGTCATTCATCATGATTCTAGATGATTCATAAGTCGATGAGGAAGGGTCAACGTCCCTCATTGACATATTATTAATGGTAATATCATTGTTCCTCGATGGTGTTGGAGGGAACATCAAGAGTCCACAATATTTCCTTCTCGCTTCCACGTCCATTTTTTTTTATGAAAAAAAAGTTTTTTTTAAAGAGAAAAAAAACTCCGTATAGCGCTGCTTAACAGATAAGAGACTACTGTAAGTACGATGTTAAGCAGTATTATACGGTAGCGGAAATTTTGAAATAGATGAATTTATTAGATATACTTAACTAATGCGAAACGAGGTTATGTTCTATCTCAAGTGGATTCAATGCAATGGATTATGTGTACGTAATAAATAAATTAACTAAAGCAATTAGACAATTCCCAGAACATGAATCAAGTGGTTGTAAATCAAATTAAAAATAAAATATTTTTGTTTTTGTCTTGACAACATGTAAATGATGATAGTATTTTCCCTGCATTCAACATTCGAGAAAATAAGTTTCAAAGTAGCTGCAGTTTCTAACATAAACTATAAACACATTTAAAGGACTAATCTAAATTATGAATAAAGAACTAAATATGGATTTATCCCATTCATTCGTGTAAAGTTTGAGCCCATTCATATTTCTTGAATAAGTTCGACTATAATAAGGGCGTATACTCAGCCGATAATATTCACATGATTTATTATAAATTGGAATATGTCCTTCATGTGAATGACGACATATTCAAAAAATAAGTTCAATCTGGTTCCAGGGAAGGGAAATTTTTCGTAAAGACTGATAGTAACATCATCAAAAATTTTGCAACTGTTTTAATAAACATTGATAATGGTTTAATTAAAAAAAAAAAAAATNTAAGAAAATTTTATTCATATAGAATATATAGAAACAATTATAATTTGATTTTTATATTATTTCATCGAGAAATATAAATAAATTTTTTTTTTTAGGTAAAATAAAATTTGATCTTCAATTTTTTACTAAAATTTTCAATATATATATATAACAACAATTACAATTTATTCCTATTGATTCCAAAGTAGTGTGACAACAATCATGTATCAGAAATTATTGTTATATTTTAAAATAAAAATTTATATTGTGATTTTGAAGTGATATATGAATATTGAATATGAAAAAAAAGGGTCCCCATTTTTTTTTTTTTTGCTACGCCGTAAATTACATTAAAACATATAATAGATTTTTTGAAATATAATAAATATATGTAAAATATGTGACAATAATGACTAATTCTAAGTTATTTAAATATTGTTTAAGCATCACGTGGAATTCATTTTAAAGTTTTAAATATATTGTTAAGAATAAAAAAACGCGAAATGACTCACTTACTTTTATTTATTTATTATCATCAGTTTCTTTCTATTCATAATCTTCCTTCTTTTACTTATTAAGTATACGCGAGAGAAAAAACGGTTCCAACTAACTTATAATTGAACTCCGGATGTTTCCATTTTTTCATTCTATCTAAAAATTTATAATTGTCTTCTATACAATTAATTATATACAATAATATTTTATATATATATTTAATATTATATATACATACACATATATATATATTTATTTATTTATTTTATCTAAATAACAATACAATATAAATTAATATAGAGTGAATTGCGGGTATTGTAACGGATATTGTACTCCCTTAAAATCAACCCACACTTTCTTATCAAGTACATATCGGGTGTAAGTTTTTTCATTCATAACGCAGCAATTCAACCGTTTTCTTGGCGCTTCTTTTAAATTATTTATAGTTAATTATTAATAAATAATTATATTATTACCAATTAAGTATTTTTTTTTTATCCCTTGTTTAAAAAAAAAATAAATAAAAAGTTTGATTGATGATTGATACTCCGGCATTTTAAGGGTTACAACGAGATCGCATTTATTAAATCATTTGTTAAAATTAGTAATAATAAAATCGGACCCAATCCATTAAGTAAAGAGAAATTCTACTCTTAACTTTAATTTTTAGGGCTAAAAATCCTTTTTCCCTTCATATATTCTATTTTTCTTTGTCTCAAATAAAAAATTCTAATGGAGCTAGAAGAGGAATTAAAAATCGGAACAGAAACCGAAGTAATTGAGTAATTGTGGCGGAAAAAGTATTAATTTGGTATGATTCGATGTAACGCCACACAATCACCCATGATAAACAGGAGTTGATTTCTTTAAACAATGGGTCGTTATACAAATTTCACAGCCATAAAATCCGGTTTTAATCTTGTTTTGTAAAATTTTCCTTATCAGCCACATTCTAACATGGGAATATACTTATGTTCATCCTTTTGGGATTTATAGAATCCCCCCTCAATGAGTAAAAAGCCGATTATAAATTTTTTTTTTTTTTAAAAAAAAAAAAAAAAAAAAAAATTATAATTTTTTTTTTTTATTTCAATCGAAAATACGTTCCAATATTCTTTCTTGTGTAAAAGAATATTTTCCTAATTGGTAAAATTTTCTTTGTGTATGTGTTCTGAATAAGCTTTTTTTTTCCCCTTGAAACGTTTGATCATTGTTTCCGTACCTCCACTATGAGAAAACTATTTTAAAGAAACCTAGTAAAAAATTATTATTATTATTTTTTTTTTATTATTTATTTTTATTCGACAAGTCACATGTTAAGAATTATTGGACCAGTTATCTATTAATTTTTGAAACTCTTAACCCTTTTGTTTATTATTTATCGTCCCTGTCTCTCAAAAAAATACGAAATGGCCAAGATAATCAGGTGATAATTGAACCCTTGTCGTAATATTGATTTTCATAATCATGACGTCTTACAAGGTACTTAAGTTCGATATTATTTTATTTTTGTACAATGAACTTATTGTTTCGACATTATTCCGGGCTTAAATGTACAGTCAATCATTTTTACTATGACAAATCATTTTATCATTGGTTTATTACCAAATAATATATGAAATTAAATCGATTTAATCATTAATCAATCAGGAATTTTCAAACATTTCCCGTTCCAAAAAATTCACACAATACGATAATTATTATACATTGTAATAAAATCGTTGTAATTTTCGCATGTAAATCAAAGAAACCAAAAATTTTAAAATAAAATAAAAATGAAGACATAAGCTTATTTTAGGTGAAACAATGTCTTTAATGTGTAATTTTATCTTAGTTATCTTTTTTTGAGTAGATTAAAATTTCCATGGACCCATGAAACCAATTTCGGAGTGCATTAATATAAACAAAAAGCAAAGACCATACTATAAACGTGGGAATCGGAATAATATAAAGAAAAGAGAAAAAAGAAAAGAAAACAAGAACAATATGATATAATTAAAGTAATGTAATTGTACATATGTACATACAATACGTTATGAATCTGTAACATTTATCACTGTTCTAATGGGTGATTCTTGTAAGGAATCACATGAATAACATAAGTTAGCGTGAATAGAAAATTCTTCGCATTTCTTGCAGCAATTACCTTTTTTCAAAAGAACAATAATTTAAAGGATCAGAGTCAAGATTGAATTGTGTTCGTTGTTATCAAAGATGACTCATCAAAAATTCGAAACATTTCAATTATTAAAAACCTGTTCTCATGACTTTTTATTTCATTCATTAATTTGTTTAATTTATTTAAACAAATGATCTGTAAATGCAACCTAAAGTAAATAATAACCGACGATTATAATGACACTTCAAAATTGTATTAACTTGTATAGTAATAAGGCTTTAAAAAAAAAATCACCTTAATTATATCGAACAAAATATACATTATTTTGGGTAACAACTGATAATTATTACCAAATTAAAATCTGATGATCACATTTTTTTATTTTAGAACATTAGAATGATGAATGAGTGGGAGATTTGCGGCAGGGAAGGGTAATTTTTGTGATAATTTGCTTTACACAAAGAAAACACTAATTTTTTTTTTTTTTTTTACGTTGAAACTTTTTACGACAAAAAAATTTAATTATTGGTACAAAAAAATCTTCGGCTTATACCGATCGCAATAAATGCTCTTTATTTTTTTTTATTTTATCTTTGTTCTCGTAGTACATAATTAAAGGATCGCAAAAATAATTCTAAATAGTTTCATAAATTAGAAAATATGTAAAATATATAACTAAACATGATAACATCAAACAAAATATAGCAAAATCGTGACGCAGCATACAATCTTATCGTACGTCTTTTTACAACATTACCCAAAATTTTTGTCATACATTATTAATTTATCTTTGAGATTTTTATCATTCATTCTAATAAAGGGAATCTTTAAAATAAAATATATTACCATTCTCTAATTAAAAAATGTTAAAAATGACCCGTAGATTTTCTTCTCACTGTTCACACTGTGAAGATCTTTAATATGTGTATCATGAAAGAAAATTAAACTTGTTCTTATATTACTTTTAAGGCAACAGTTAAAATCATTTAAATGAGATAAATTTGTGTTTAAAGTGTAAAACATGATTAAATTTTTTTAAAATTTGTCATATAATAAATAAGGATTACTCAAAAAAAAAAAAATATGATGTGATATTGTGGTGTGATATATTTTTTTTTTTTGGGGTGAAAAAATTTTTTTTTTTTCTGATACTATAAAAAAATATCTAAAATATTATTCGTTCGATTTATAATTAACATTACTAAAAACTTTAAGATGTGGCGTTATAAATAATCATATGGTTAACCGAACATGGAGAAGTTAATAAGCGAAATATTAATGAAAATTTTCCATTTTTGCTTTGATATTTTTCTTTTTTAAATTGTAATATAAAATCTAGTAATAATTTTGATGTTAATAATAACTAAATTTTTGGTTAGCGTGGTTAAAATTTCTGCCGTCTTTCATGCAGGAATTTCGCATTACACAAGATACGGGCATATGGGACCGTGTGTTACCAACTTTGTTTCTTTTTAATTTTTGAAACAGAGAAAAATCTTCTTTTTAATTTTTTTGAAGCAGTGTAATGCTATGCTCAGGGCTCGAAACAATGTTATTGTTTCAATCATCTTTTTTTGACATCGCTAGCCAAATTAGGCATATTATGATCGTCCTTCACAAAGACACTTGACAAAGTTTTTCTTTGACGAAGAGGGGCGGTATAGTTGAAAAACGAAAAAGTAACAAAGAAAGTACGACGATACAAAGCTACAAAACACCATTATA